TCTGACAATAAAAATTACTACACGATCCCAGGAGGGGAGATCAAAGCCTGAGCCCACCCGAGCCCCTCAGGCTTTGACTTCGGGTGGTGGGGCTCGGGCTTTGGCCCAAGGCCTCAGCCAGTTAAAGCCAGCCTTGGCGACCCCATTAAAATGTTTGAGAACTGCTGACTTAGATATTCAACCAGATAAACAGATTACACTGCCATGGGCAAAATCATAACCAGGGTTTATAACTGACTCCAAAGGCTTGAGAGCCCAAGCTGAAAGATCCACACAGCTATTTTTAATGCGCTAGCTCGCGCTCCACTAACACAAGTTTGTCCACTTGGGCTGGGAGGCTGACTCCCAGGTGCAGTGTAGACATACCCTGAATGGACAGCCTCCTCTTTAGATGTCCTATTTTGGGCTTTATAAGGACTGATTATGTGTTAATCTGATGATTTAGTTGGAATGCAAAAGTGTAGCTAACACTTGGATTTGGTGACTTGATCTTAATTTGACCTTATTTTGACAATTGTATTGTTTAATCCTTAGTTTAGAGGAGTTTGTCGTGGTTTAATCTGAACAATATGTTTTCTTGATTTTATTTTTGATTGTTAGCTTGAATAAAAAGTATAAAAATATACCGAGTCATATTGCTTTCAAACAATTTGGATCAGAACCACTAAGGATCCATGTAGGATGGGCTCCTCTTGAAAGTAACCCTTCAGTTCTCACAACACTCTCTGGCCACCCAACTCTGAAGGCAGTGCCGCTGCCAGCACTGCCACAGTTACTTCTGTGCTGCTGCTGGCGGTGGTGCTGCCTTCACAGTTGAGCGGCCGGGGAGATCATGTTGTCTGCAGCACAGGAGGACTATTTTTTAAATCCCGTTCCCGTCTTACTATACCCACTCCAACTGCTTGTGCATTGTTTGTTGAATTTTTATCCTGCTCCCACTATTACGGCAACGGGATCGCAGTTCTGCTACGGGGTAGAGCCCTTCCAAAAAACAAACAGTTTCAGATTACAGGTAATGAAAGGGGAGGCATGACAAATTCCATGAATGGTAAGGTGGGGGGGGGGAGGGGAGGGGAGAAGGGCGACTGGAAATGCGGGAACCTTCCAACTTCTGAACACTACAGTGAAAACTGTAGTATGTTCTCTGACTTTCACTGTCCTGTGCGGATTGGTTGTTTGTGCCAACCCTTCTGCACCCTCCTCGGAGTCTCTTCTCCTCAGCTTCATTCTACACTTGTTCCTCTTATTCCTTTTCCTTCCGTTTGCTTTCCAGTTAGCTGATCCCCTTCTCAGTAACCAACCCTTCACCCCAAAATAAAATAAAAGGAATCAACAGGACATTTGCTGCCCTTCCATTGTTCACTCTGCTTGTGTTCTACTTCCCCCGCACCTTGTATCCATCCTATTTACACAATGCTGTCTCACTGTTTCCTTGTACTCCCCTGTCTGTATCTATATGCTTTTTTCTTGTCTTTTATTTAGACGGTCTTTTTATTCTGTGTTTGTACAGCACCTAGCACAACGGGGTTCCGGTCTATGATTGGTGCTCCCAGGTGCTACTGCACGACAACAAAACAACATCTATTACACAAACACACACACTTTTCTAGCTCTCATGGTTGCCAAGAAAACATTGAAAACATGAACGATGAGTGAAATGAAGCAGCATTTTCCACTGAGAGGTGTAAACTGCTCCATTCATCTCCACGGGATGTTAAATCTAAAACCTAAAGGCAAATGTTTACATTTCAATATGGCTAACTCTTTCACGGCTTATTATTTTTAGCAGAAACATCCAGCTAAAGGTCATATCCCACAATCATCCCACAATCATAAACTACCTCCCATGCCTCCCCAGTGGCCAAAAGCCCCACCTGTCCCTGATCCACTTATCAAAACATCCAGTTTCCCCCATTTCCATTTTTTTATGCAGTTGCGTTTGTCAATACAAAAAATCTGTGACACAGAAAACGAGGCCAGCACAAATTAACAACATTTCATACCAAATTAAACACAAGGGGAAATTACTCATTATAATATTTGATTATTTACATTAAAAAAATAAGAGGTTTTTAATTAAAGCTGCTACAGATTATCCAGTTTGCTACACCAGAACGATGCAGAATCCAGGGCCTTGCTGAAAAAAATTAGGCCCAGCTTGCCTAGGAATGCATGGAGCCTTTACTATTAAGGACTGGATAGAATGGGTGAGATGGCATCATTTTATCCCAGGGCTGTAACTACACTGAATTTTTGCTTAACATTTCTCACTACTGCAATAGTACCAGTGCACTTCCACTGGACAAGGCGCCAGATTTTTAAGAATTGTCTATTCCTGCACAGAGCATGTCTAGGAGACACTGGTAAAAATGCCAATGGTTGCCAAAGCCCTGTCTACACTAGAACTCCCACCAGTAGAACTGGTGATACTACAATGGCAGGACATTTTAAAAAGCAGCTCAGGGTAGACTGGGCTAAGAGTGTGCCCATAATCACACAAAATTAAGACATCAATTATTTGCTCCCTGCCTGTACTGCTCTTGTGTGTTTCTTTGCTCAAACTATTTCCATTTCTGCTGGGATTCCAATATTCCCGGATAGAAACATAAGAAAAGACTAAGTCTGCTGAGCTGTTCATCCAAAGATCTCCAAAAGACTTTACAAAAGGTGGGTAAAGTTCTTTATTTTGCACATGAGGAAGTTGAGGCACAGAGTCAGAATGACTTGGCTAAAGTCACACGGTGAGCCAATGGCTGAGTTGGAAATAGAAGATAAATTTTTCAAAAGTGTGTAAGTGATTTAGTCTCCTAAATTCCATTTGCAAAAGTGACTTAGGCACTCGGGGCCAGATTTATAAAGGTATTTAGGTGATTGAAGCTACAAATAGGTGCCTAGTGGGATTTTCAAAATCCCCTAAAAGCAGGTGACTTCAATGGGCGTTACGCACTTAGTGCTTCCGTAAATCCCACTAGGCACCTATCTCCATCTTGGATACCTAAATACCTTTGTAAATCTGGCCCTTAAGGGTCTGAGTTTCATTGAAAGTCAATGGGACTTAGAATCCGAAAATGCTCAACTCACTTCTGAAAATTTGACGCAGAATCCAGATCCTCTTAATCCCAGTCCTGAATTCTAATCAGTACTTTATATCAGCAGCTTTCTATAACAGAATCACACAGTTCTTTCCCTGATGACCTTTATATGACAAATAAACAATGTTGTGAAGTTCCAAGTTTTCCTTACTTTAAGATGCAACCCTGCATGGAGCTAACCAATCTGGCCTCAGTCCAGCAAAACAATTAAGCACATTCTTAATGTTTAAGCAGTGGGACTACTCACATGCTTAACTGTTAAGCACATGCTTATGTGTTTTCCTGGACTGGGGCCAGAGTGCTTAACAGCTGGCAGGATCAAGTCCTTTATTACCATGTGTATTTCACCTTGTATCAGAAAATTTTTAAAAATCAAAGTGCTTTTGAGCTTTGGAGGATTTTTTGTTTTTCGGTTGTAGATATGAAGATATATTTTTTTTTTACTCATATATTTATTCAATGGTTCCCCTATTTTTCCTAACGAGGATTCAGCAAAACAGAAACATATTTCCTAGCAGATGACCTATACAACTCATTCATAATTTAGGCATGGTAATTTGAAAGGTACTCAGTAAGAACTCTACCTACATATTATTATACCAATACTCAGTCTCACATCCAGCCATTAAGAAAGGTACTTACTTCTTGTAAACAACCACCACAACATATACTTGTGCAAGTAAGTATATTGTTATATACCACTGACCACACAAAATTTCTTTATCACTGAATGCTTCACAGCTGGGTACAGTCTATGCATTCCAATATAGCACAAATAGGCCACACAGGTCACAATGCAGCACACAGGCACAATAACATCGGTGGACGTGACAGGGCAGGGAATGAAGAGGGGCACCATGGCCAAGCTCCAGGGAGAAGGATTAAGCACAGGGAAATGGGGAGAGTTGGGGAGTAGGATTTAAATTGTATTATCTGAGAAAGAGGGTTAGGAGTCAGACCAGAGGAGAGCGGGAGTCTTGCAATGGGATCATCTGAAGAGATTCAAGGAGTCAGTTAAATAAAAAGAGGGAGAGAGGCTGTTCCATGCAGCAGGGTCGACATGGGAGAAGAATCTCCTGTCCACTGGTGAAGGACCAAATGGGTATGGGAAGACTAGGAAAAAATTTAATCTAGTGAAAAACTTCGTCAACAGCTTGGACTTTGATTCTGCACAACTTGTTCACTTGCAAATTCCCATGGGAGTTTTGAGAGTGCTGGAAATGCAGGATCAGACCCAGAGAACAGAGACAGAAATGATTTTGGAGAGCTGGAGGGGTTGGGTGAATGGAGGGGCAAATCCACGGTGGAACTTGAAGACTAGGAAGGTGATTTTCAAGTGGATTCTGTAAAGAGTAGGAAGCCAGTAAAGATTTCTGAAGATGGAGGGTTGGCGAGGGGGATATATTCCTGGGTACTGGTGTGGAAAAAAAGTCACATTTTGTAGAACTGAGACACAGGGAAATCATTAAAGCAGGTGACTCCAGTCAAGAGGCGATAAGATGAGACAATATAGAAGAGTTTTGACAGAGGAGTATTCAAGACTGTATCTGCTATGGGGGGATGGAGACAGAAGCAGCCAACATTAGAAAGCTGAGGTAGGTGAAAGGAATTCAGGGTCAATTTCAACAACTCAGCTCCTGGTTGTAGAGGGGAAGGTGAGATTTAAGCAGAGGAGGTGGAATGATCATTAGGGGAGGTCTTCAATTAATCAGCTTTTTAAAATATTGAAATGAAGGAAGATATTGCCAGAGCCAGAAGCTGGTGAAGTTGAAGCAGACAGAAAGTGAGGTAAGGGGCCAAAAGAGTGAAAGGGATACAGAATTGAGTATCCTCTGCATGGAAGCATTACCCAAGACTGAGTTCAGAGAGAAGGTGGCCAGAAGCCTTGACTGAGTAATGCACCAGTACCTTTTTCTGGAACCTTAAACTTCTCCTTTTTGTGCTTATATTTGTTGACAATTTTGTGGAATAAGTTCTTTTTCTGAGACTGGAATGAACCTACAGACAATATTAATAATAATATATTTTTAATTAGTAGTTTTTATACAACAAAACAATTATAGCATGTCGAATATAACTCCCCCTTTAATGACTACAGCATGCCACTTCATTTTACAATGTAGTGCCTGATCCAACACCCACAGGAGTTAATGGAAGCTTTCCATTGACCTCAGTGGGCATTGGATCATTCTCCTCTAACGTGAAAGAGAGATACCAGTTTAGTTTAAGAGAGTGAGGATGACAAGAAAAGTTGACTATGTAAAAATAGCCCCTTTTCCCTCCAAACATCTGATCTCTGTGTATATTCAGAGTCAGAGCTCTTTGGTTTCGGTGACAAAGGTAAGTTTTTACTAATTGCAGAGCTAACGCAGCTCTGGGAGCTGGAGTCTCTCCTGGCTCACGCATCATCCTCAGTTCTGACTGCAGAATCTTTATTACTTAGGATGGTGCCTGAACTGCTTGACCTACAAATATCTCAGGGAAGTTTGAGCACTGGCAGTTAGAAAAACATCTTTCTGACTGGTAAATAACATGAAAGTGGCCAAGACACAACAAACAGGTAACTCCTACACTGCAATGCCATTTTTATGGAGTCACTTTTCAGAGCAAAAGTGCACTGTAAAGGATTACCTCCAAAAAAGTAGCAGGGAACCTAGTCTTCATGCTAGATTCAGACTAGATATAGATTCTCAAACCTACATGTAAAGATAAAAGCAGTATAATCAAGCAACAAACTTGGAAACTGTAAGGTGCTGATGTACTTTGGTTTGGGAAGTTCCTGTCATCAGTCAATTTTTTCAGTTTGATATGGTAGTTAGAAGTCACAATTGAAAAGTTACAGCACTATGCAAAAAAGGACAGTCCTCAGCTGGTACCCATCATGGGTAATTTTAGCTCAAGTCTGAACTAATTTAATTATAACTGGTTGATAAAAGTTAAATAACTTCAACAGAGTAGGCCAAATTAGTTACACAAAGTTCAATCCTTCTTCAGTCCGTATGGTTGCATTCATATTACTGAGCACAGAATTTGGCCCGCTTTGTATTTTTTACCACAGCAAGTCAGGATGCCAGAGTTACATGGGAAGTTATTCTAAGGTGAGCAAAAATGTTAAAGCTATTCTTATCTACAAGTTTATTTATATCCAACAACAAAAAAAAGAGCAGACAAATCTGCTGTCTGTACTTGGGCTTGTTATTAATCTATTGTAATGGTTAAAAGGGGCAGAAGTAACACCATAAATAGATTTAGTCAGCACCACGGAATTGTTTCAACCTTTGATTTTCCTGAAGGCCTGATTTTCTTTTACAGAATTTTATATTTGTCCTTTTAAGAGAGTTGCCTTCATGTATAACACCACCACGTGCCATCCTACGCCTTATCCCCTGAGCGGGAAAGACCAGGAGCACAGGTAAGCACGAGCCACACACGTTTGTACAGAAAAGTGTAAACTCATGGCAGTTAACATACACCGAAGAGTGCAGAGCGGCAACAAGGAGAGCAGAAGAAAGCCTCAGAATGATGACACGACCCAAAGCAACAAAGAGCTGAGTGGAGCTGATGAGCAGCTGAGAAAAGTTGAGACGGGTTAAGCAAAGCCAGGCTTGGAAAAGCACAGGCAGGCGGAGGGAAAGGTGAGGGCTGAAATCCTGGCTCCCTGAAGTCAATGGCAAAAATCCCATTGACGTCAGTGGGGTTAGGATTTCACCCTAAGGCCTGGTCTACACTAACCCCCCAAGTCGAAGTAAGGTACGCAACTTCAGCTACGTGAATAACGTAGCTGAAGTCGACATACCTCACTTCGAACTTACCGCGGTTCAGACGCGGTCCACACGGGGCAGGCAGGCTCCCCCGTCGACTCCGCGGTACTCCTCTCGTTGAGATGGAGTACCGCAGTCGACGGCGAGCACTTCCTGGTTCGACTTATCGCGTCCAGACCAGACGCGATAAATCGAACCCGGAAGTTCGATCCCCAGCCGCCGAACTAGCGGCTAAGTATAGACCAGCCCTAAGGCTCCAGCAGGACTGAATATTGGTGCAGGTCTCCATTCTAGCAGATCCCAATGAAGGGCCAAGCCCTAAAAGATGGAAAAAAAATGCATTTGGAATGACCAAAGGGATGATTTCAGTTAGGAGGTTATCGGGATATGTGGCACATTCATAGAATCATAGAATATCAGGGTTGGAAGGGACCTCAGGTCGTCATCTAGTCCAACCCCCTGGTCAAAGCAGGACCAATCCCCTGACAGATTTTTGCCCCAGATCCCTAAATGGCCCCCTCAAGGATTGAACTCACAACACTGGGTTTAGCAGGCCAATGCTCAAACCACTGAGCTATCCCTCTCATTATAAAATAGTACAGAGGTTTATACTACTATACTCTAAATCTGCATCTTATACCAACACTGCATAGAAAAGTACAGCTCAGCAGTGTCAGAGAGATTGCTGAGCACTGGAGCAGATATTCTGCACAGAAGCAGTGACTAAGGAAGCCACAGAAATAGGTTATAAGCTTTACAAATATTACACAGAATGAAGAATGTGTTTTGTTTATGATCCTCTTTCTACCATCCCTTCTAAAGAGCTCATCACAACCAAACATTGAAACAACCCCCTCAATGGGTAGAGGTTTCATGAAAACTTCTGTTCTCAAATGGAAACTCAAGGACATGGACTTCAGTGACAGGGAAAGGAAACTCTTCTCTGTCCCCTCATTCTGGGTTCTATTTTTCCCAAATAGTCACTAGAACATCCTTCAGCGGGGATCAAATGACTAAAGTGGAGCAAAGGCGAAAACAGGTAATTTTTGTGACATACTATGGCCCAACAGTCAGAAAGTTTTGACTCTATGAAAAATTCCTTCTTCATGTTAATCTATTTAGTTGGTTGATGGGCTAATTACAGATGCAGTTTGTATTGCAGGTGAGTATATTAGCATGGGATTGACAATTACCTAGGGAGGTTGTGGAATCTCCATCATTGAAGGTTTTTAAGAATAGGTTAGACAAACACTTGTCAGGGATGGTCTTGATCATACTTAGTCCTGCCTTATTGCAGGGGAATGGACTAGATGACTTATTGAGGTCCCTTCCAGTCCTACATTTCTAAGATTCAATGAGTCTAAGAACCAAAGCTCTTGGATTGAAACACACAAAACATGCAAGGAAGAAATACTAAGATGATGATATCAGGTCCAGACCTCAGGGTGCAAGTGTCACCCCTGTTATCAGTAGAGGCCAAGGAACGAGCCAGTCATGGAGATCAAAGAATCTTTCACTCTTAGGGCAGGTCTACACTACCCGCCTGAATCGGCGGGTAGAAATCGATCTCTCGGGGATCGAATTATCGCGTCTCGTCGGGACACGACAATCGATCCCCGAATCGACGCTTCTACTCCACCAGCAGAGGTAGGAGTAAGCTCCGTCGACGGGGGAGCCGTGGAGGTCGATTTGCCGCCGTCCTCACAGCGGGGTAAGTCGGCTCCAATACGTCGAATTCAGCTACGCTATTCGCGTAGCTGAATTTGTGTATCTTAAATCGACCCACCGGCCCCCCGCCCCCCGCCCCCAGTAGTGAGGACGTAGCCTTAGAAGCTGTCCTTCTCGGTCAAAGTGCAGACTCCCTGGCCAGGGAAGGTTGCACAGCTGCTGCTTGTGCTGTTTGTTCCATGGAGAGAGATGTTAAGTCTCTAGGGAGGTCAACCCAACTCCATCCACCAGCACTAAATTCACAAAAAATTTAAGGTTGAAAAAGCAAACCTTAAAAGCTTGCTTGTCTTGAAATGATTTTATACAAGAAAAACTTTTGAGAACTACTGGGCTACAATGGTTTACTTCTCATTTTGGTAATGCCTTCTTGGTTTTAAAGTAAATCCTTTCCCTGCGGATATTTCTCAGCAGTTAACATAATACTCCATTTTTCTTGGGTTTTTAGTGTTGCAGCAGTTGCTACCATATGGGAACTGCTTGTAGTTTACTTCTCGGTCTGTCCAGTACGCTCCCTGTTATCAGAAGGAATATGCGCCACTCAGGGATTAGTGAGAATTGGGCTAGAAGCAGCGGCAGAGTAAAGTAGCAAGCAAGAAAATGAACAGACTGTGCGTGACTAACTCTAGCAACACTTGTTCAAAATTTCATGGGTGGATTTTAAAAAAAATCCTCCAAAAAAAAATATCTATATCTATATCTATATCTATATCTATACCTATATCAGAAGAATGGATCAAATGGCTAGCACAGTGTATTCCAACAAACGAGGCATATGTACTCATCCTATTAAGTCTCCGGTCTCGTTTTACTAGTGCTAATAGAGTCTCTAAGGTTTCCTGTGGCAAAGCTCCCATCTCAGACATTTGTAAGGCAGGTTCCAGGAGCTCAGTTCAGATACCCATTTTCACTGAGCTGCATTACTCTGTCCAGTTTAATTGCAACTTGCTTCAGCCCTGCTTTGGGGAGGGCTACTTACTGTGAGCTAAATGCCAAGAGTGCCAGAGCTGTGCAGAATAATTGGAGTTCTCCAAATATTTGTCTCTACACTTACAAATCTATTCTCTCTCCATTCCCAGCTATCTTTGGAGATTCAGAACTCAAGTGCTGTTTTTAAAGGCGTTGTCTGTGAACCATTTGGCGCACAGATAGCGGCACATGATCGCAAGGTAGACTTAGTGCCGAGCAGCTAAAAAGCAAGCGAAAGACTGTGGCTCCATGAAAGCAATGCTCCAAAGGAGCAATAACTTTATGGTGCTATTTCTTGATTGTACTCTGGAAATGCCGAGAGGCCTCAGCCGAGATCAGAGCCCCATGGTGCTAGGCGCTGTGCAAACAGAATAAAAGACAATCCCTGTCTCAAATGAAAATATATTGAATTGCCACCCTTCTATGCCCTTCAACAAGTAAGTTGGGTTATTTAGCACATAAAAATCATTTTTCATAGTTCAAAAGAGAAATGATAACTACAGATTTTGCCCTACGTTTCTGTAGATATGTAAATTGGCAACCCATTGTAGATCAATGGCTTCTGCTTGATACAATGCCCCAGCGTACGTTCTGCTAAAGACGTCAATCACGAGTGATGAATTCTGGAGCAGGATGCTGTCTGTATGGGTTAAGCCTGTCTCTTTCCTCCAGTTCTCAGCAGTTTCATTATACCATTGATATGTATGAAACAAAAATATGTAGGGTGAGATTTTCAAAACTAACTCTGCTCCCTTTGAAGTAAAATCTCCCACTGACATCAACTAGAGCAGAAGTAGACCAACGTGGAATACTTTTGAAAATCTGTCCCTAAACATATTTTAGGAAACTGCTTCTTAAGGGAGAAAGTTCAGAGGTACCTTACCCATACACATAGCTTGCGTGCTCCGGTGTCCTTCAGTGGGTGGGTGTAGTTAAATTGCAGAGCTGGAGGGGTGTCACACCAGGCAGAAAAGGGACCAGCTCATTAGGGATTGGCACTTTGGGGCAAATGAAAGAAAGTGATTGGGGAAAAAAGCTAATTTGACTGATGTGCTGAATGCCCTGCTTATCCTGCTTGTTTTGATTATTCGACGTATCAGGCCTGAACTGCCTCTTGTTTAGACTGTTATAAATCAAACTCCATTTGAAGTTAACGGCTTTACAACAATACAAACTCATGTAACACCATTGTCTTCAACTGAAACAAGCAATGTATGTGATTTCTTAAGTATTTAAGACATGATTAAGAAACAGTTACTTTTAAAAAAAATTTACTTAAGAAAAAATGACATACAACCTCTCATAATCTGTCATGTCCTGGCATCCTGGGAAATACTCTGTCACATTGAAGCCTACTTACTGAATTTTTAATGGCAGTTTATGGAGCACTGATCTGATACGGTGAAAGCTTCTCTAACTACTGGGCACTAAGAATACATGGGAAGTCTATCGTATGTGCTACAAATCTGTAGACATTTGTCCAGGAGAAAGATAGTATGTTCTTAAACAAGTTTTCTCTGGCCTACATGCCGTCCTTAGGCATACGCAGCATACACGGTTGTGTAGGACACCCAAAAATTTGGCGCACCACTGGGTCTTAGTGGCCACCCGCCCGCCTCTTCCTATCCCTGTTCTGACCCTTCCTGCAGGCTCCCACCACAGCTGGCTGCTGCAGACTGGTGAGTCTTCCTCAAGATGGGATCTAGTAGTTAAAAGTGAAAAAGGCTTCCAGCCTGCCAGACCTAGTGAAACACTGAAATTCTTATAGAGCCATTCAAGTGGTAATGAAGCCATTTAACAGGCATTTGTCAACCCCCAGGTATATACTGTCAGTTTCTGAATTTACTGACCAAAACCAGTTGTGCATTACTGTAATATTTACTCAGAACATGTTAGTCTACAGGACCTTAGTTTAAAATTTGCTTTAAAAATATTTCACTAGTGTGTTGCTGAAGATTATAAAATCACATCTCTAAAAAATCCTTGCATAGATTTTTAGATGCACAATCTGAGTATTCATCTTTAGCCTTAAATGCTTGGATCTTCAGACATAGTTTTTTAAATAAATCCTTCAAAAGACCACCCTTATCTAAAATACACATGTGAGCCCGGGCTGCCGTCGGGCATAGGGGCACCAGTTTAATAATACTGCATAGGGCCCCCATAATTCCTAAGGACAGCCCTGCCGCCATGCTATCATTATTACTTCTCATGTGTATCACAGTCAGACCTAGAGTCCTCAGCTAAGACTGGAGCCCCATTGTGCTGGGTACTGTACAAACACCCAGTAAGCAACAGTCCCGGATCTGATGAAGGGTCTATAACGACAAGACAGACAGAGGGTGGAAGGAGAACCAGAGGTACAGAGAAGTGAAGACAGCTGCACACAGTTGGTCAGTGGCAGAGGCAAGAATAGACTCTAGGTCTCCTAAGTCCCAATCCAGTGCCATATCCACTTGCCCAGTGGCTCTCAACCCTTCCAGACGACTGTACCCCTTTCAGGAGTCTGATTTCTCTTGCATACCCCCAAGTTACACCTCACTTAAAAACTATGTGCTTACAAAATCAGACATAAACATACAAAAGTGTCACGGCACACTATTACTGACAAATGGCTTACTTTCTTATTTTTACCATATACTTCTAAAATAAATCAATTGGAATATAAATATTGTATTTACATTTCAGTGTCTAGTATATAGAGCAGTATAAACAAGTCATTGTCTGTATGACATTTTAGTCAGTACTGACTTTGCTAGAGCTTTTTCTGTAGCCTGTTGTAAAACTAGGCAAATATCTAGATGAGTTGATGTACCACCTGGAAGACCTCTGTGTACCCCTAGGGTATGCGTACCCTTGGATGAAAACCACTGGACTCGACCCATACTGCCTCTCCGATTCATTTGAAAAATGCTTGAGTTCTAACACAGGCAAAAAGTACCCCTCAGAACTATCTCTATAATTTTCGTAAGACTTTTCACTATACGTGCTGCACTTAACGTGCTTCTTTATTAGCAGCATGCACATGGGCCCCCTTCATAGACATGCACATCTGACAGTTTCTCAGGTCAATATTCGATAGCAACCTTTGTAGACGTAACAGTCTATATAGCAGGTCATCTATCTGGTCAGCTGTTACCGTAAAGGCAAGTTTGGAAAGCCCACAGTGGGTCTAGGCTCCAGAGCCCGCACTACTCATGGCAATATCCTCACTACATCTCAGGATAAGTTTGGGATCCAGCTTAACGAAGTTAGCCGTGGTGGGGCAGTTATCTTTTACACTGCTAAAATTCTCTTGCACACGGTTGGGTCCGGGTTGCTTCTTATCCCTGCCTCACATGATCTGCAGTATCCCAGAGTCCACTTCCAGCCAGTGTGGTCAACACTTGAGCTACTCATCTCTGTTGGTCTGATACATTTGTTGGCAGCACAATCACTGCTTAGTAGAGGTGATTGAAATTAGAAATTTCCATTCCTTGGGAACTTGCAACATTTCAGGTTTTTGTTGTTCTGAACTGGAATGAAATGTGAAAAGTTTGAAATTTCCCACGAAATGAAATTTCTGAATTTTTTTGTTTCAGATCAAAAGTTTTAATGTTGAGACTTTTAAATATATATATATATATTAATTGTATATAATTTTTAAATATACAAATATCTAAGTGTTCCATTCCCCTGTCGAAATGCTTCCCTTCAATTATTTCCCCCCCAGACAAAATTATGTCAAAATCAACATGTTCCCGGGTTTTGATTTTGTTGAATCAACATTTTTCAATGGAATTATTGCTTTGACAGAATTTTTTTTACCTGCTCTACCTCTTGGTATCTCAGTGCCAGCCCACAATGGAGCTGTGCTGACTTATCCCAGCTGAGAATCTCACTCAATAGCTGCAAGTGAATTTAGTATTCATGGAAATGAGGAACTGTTAGCTGTGGCTTGGCCAGACACAAAGTATGTCTACACTTCGAGCTCGGGGTGTGATATCCAGCTCAAAGAGACACATCCAATAAAAATAAAGCTAGCTACAGTACATACCCATTTGAGAACCTGGGCACGTACTTGGAGCAACTAGCTCCGCCTCCTGTGCTCTATTTTTAGCACACTAGCTCGACTGGTGCTTGCATGAGTTTGTCTCCTCAAGCTGGGAATCACACCACTAGCTGGAAGTATAAATGTACCCAGGGGATAGGCAAGTGCTGCATAATCTTACCCAGAGGACTCTGCCAGCACTACTCATACCTGACCTGTTACATATCTGCAATTGTATTGCTGGCCTTCTCTTAAGACAAGAAACTGGAAAAATTCAAGGCTTTCCAAATGTGCTTTGCAAAAATAGAGATGAGAATGAGACCAACTTACTAACAAAGCCAAGGGGAGAATTCAACTTTTCACTATCTGACTATGGAACATATCCCACGATTTCCAGACAAATGAGTATGTCAATAAAGCACTAAACAGTGTGTGCTGTTGCTAGAAATCAGGGAAGTTACTGCTGATTACCACCACCAATTAGCAGTTGGCTCCCAAAACGTGCTGCGTAATAAACCACCAGATTACTGTGCTGTAGAATTGGTTCATTTGTTCTGGGCTGGCTTGTAGATTTCTCAGATACAAACTATAGAGTTGCAATTAGCAACGATCAGGCCTCAGTAAATATTATGGACAATGGCTAATTTTGCCAGAACCTGCTCAGCCCCTCCCTACTTACATAAATACAAAATCAATACTATATTGGGCACGCTGTATAAACATCACAAACAGTTCTGTTCCATGTATTGTACTTTGGTTGCTCGCGATTCAGACAAACAGCACAAAACTACGTATGTTTGAATAAGGTACTTAGATCTGCAAAAGTAGTCAGTTAGTGCCACCAACACAGTGATCAGACAGTAAGAGTTATTCTCATTTTATCAGTGTATTCAGCATCTTGTTGCCTCAGCTCTTCAGAACAACACAATTACTGGTAATCATTCCTCCTTTCCTGATGCATTTATATTCACATACAGTATAAATACCACAGGCTCAAAGAATTAGCCCTAATGGATACTCACCCACACTACACAAACCATGCACACATGACACAAGTGGAAGTTTCTGCTCATGAGAGACTGAGTACTGGACTTACAAGGGTTTAGAATGGAGGCATTACTGCAGAAATGTTTTATTTCCAGAGTGAGAATATGTTACATCAATGAATAAAAGGGAAAAAGGAAAAACAAAATCTGTGAAAGTCCTGGTGATAACCAACTTTGTCACAATGAAGAAAGCAACACTGACTCCACATTCCTCACATGTAGGCAAGCATGCTGAGGTAAGAAAATAACTCCTGAACCCAGCACAGCAGCTATTATGGATGACGAACGTACCTCAGAAAGCACCTTACCTTTGTTGGATTTTGGTTGTTCTGCTGGACAGCTTCCAACCTTCTTCTTTTTCCGTGGAACAGATACGCTTTTCCGGTCAAACGTAATGGGACTGTACTGAGGGAGGCTGTTGAATTTTTTTTCAAATTCTTCTTCCAATTTTGCTAAACTAAAGAAAGGGAGGGAAAAAACCAAAGTCAATCACATGGTTCACACAGATAAAGTTTAAAACAGGTTCTGGGTCGATAAGGTTCAGTGGTACTTTTATACCTGAACTCATCACAGTTAGGTCATTTTATATATACATTAAGTTTTTTAAAAATTGAATGATTGTGTTTGGCATTCAATACTGATCTGTCACGTGAGGGAGATTAATCAATCAGAAAAGGAGGACAAAGAAACACTGAAAAAGAGTGGCACCAATATCAATGAGTAAATAATACTAGATTATGAACAAAGAGGTTTTCTGAAAAAGGCAACTTATTTTTTTTTTAAAGATTTGCTCCTTTTTATTTATAAAGGGTGCCTTTATGTTAAAGCTCTAATTGGTTTCACACACACAAAACCCCTTCCCCCCCGCCAAAACTATAAGAAAAACAATTTACAAAAGCCAAGCAAGCAATAAACAACCAACCAAACTACACCTCTACCTTGATATAACGCTGTCCTCGGGAGCCAAAAAAATCATACCGCGTTATTGGTGAAACAGCGTTATATCGAACTTGCTTTGATCCACCGGAGTTCGCAGCCGCCCCTGCCCCCCGAGCACTGCTTTATCGCGTTATATCCGAATTCGTGTTATATCGGGTCGCATTATATCGGGGTAGAGGTGTACTTAATATACATAGCTCTTCAATAGGGCGTCTGGGAAGAACTGAGGGCATGGGGCTAGGGATGCAGCAGGATTGGATTGGCTGCTGCATTTATCTGGTGATATATTAATTATTTTATTACACAGAGCCAACTGCATGATACTTTAATTGCTTGTAAACGTATTTGTTGTTCGGTTGACTAGCGCTCCTGCACATATGTTCTCTGAGCTTGTGTGGTTTTTAATAACAAATCAATAAATTGGTGCTGACATGAGAAGTCTGAGTTTTCCTAGCTCTCTCTAATTCTCTTTGCTATGAAAGACCAGCAGACAATGAGGAGTTTGCAACCGAAGGCCCTGATCCTGTAATGACATTCACATAGGCAGACCCCTGCACTGGTACAGTGCCTGGGTCTACCTCTGCAGAGCTCATGACAGGACAGGAGCTAAGACAGACAAGACAAACATGGCATGTAACACTAGGGAGTTGCCAGTGGAGGAGGCGGTAGGGAGGATACCTGGATAGGGTTGCCAACTTTGTAATATTTAAAAACCGGACACTTCCCCCTGAAGCCCCACCCCCATTCGCTCCTCTTTCCCTGTTGCCCCCTGTTGCTCGTCCCCTCTCTCCCCCACCTCTGCCTGGATCAGGAGGGACTCACCTGCGGAACAGGGGCTGGGAGTTGCAGCTACCTGACACAGGTAGGAGGTGGCCCCAGCTAAGTAGGGGATGGTGCGGGTGATGACTCAGTGCCTCCCTGCCTCCCCCACCCGCAGTAACCAGACTTTGAGTGTCTGGTCAGTAGATCTGACACTGTCAAGTCCCCTTTTCGACTGCACTTTCCGGTCGAAAACCAGGCACCTGGCCACCCTATACCTGGAAGTAGTAGATTTTTAAAAGGATGAATATGAAGAAGGCAGAGGATACCTGGCAGACAAGAAGAGGGAGATTGTTCCCATGGTAATGGGCAAGTAATGCAAGAGAATGTACCAAATCTGAGTCTGGGAGAAGAAGGAAGCTGCAAGGTGAGAGGGGTGGGAGGAACAAGGTGTGCTTGTGGCAGGGGAGGAAATAAGAGGAGAGATGTAGGTGGGAACAAGATTATGCAGAGCCTTGAAGAGGGATGGTTTAATATAGAGGTCTGATCTACACTTAAAAATTAGATTGACCTAGCTATGCCATTCAGGGCTGTGAAAAATTTTGCACCCTGAGCATCGTAGTTAGGTTGACCTAACCCCCAGTGTAGAGACAGCTAGGTCAGTGGAAGGATTCTTTCCTCAACCTAGCTACCGTCTCTCGGAGAGGTGCACTAATTACATCGATAGAAAAACACCTTCAGTCAACGTAGGAAGCAACTACACTACAGAGCGACAGTGGTAGAGGTGCAGCACCGCAGGTGTGCCGCTGTGGTGGAGACATGCCCATCGTTTCTTGAACTTTTAGTAAAAATCTTAAATTCATGTATTATAAAGGTTTCTTCTATTAGAACTGGTTGAATAATAGTAATGAATAACACTGCTGAGAGAGGAAATAAGTTATCCTCGCATACATATCTTCACTATCTAATCAGTTGTACAGACGGTAGCACAATATTTGTCAAATACATTATTCAAAACTGTTAACTGGCAAACACTGAATAAATTATTTGCATCTACATTTTTTAGATTAGTTGATGAGCTGTGGAATTCATCATCTTCTCAAACTGACCTAATGTTTTAATGTAATTAAATAAATGAAAAGCTGGTTAACTTTTTGATGGAACACTGTGTAGTACGAGAAGATCTTTACAAAATCTCCATATCACCGACGAGTACATTACGTACTGAGAATAATAAAAGTGTAGCGTTACTTTGCGTAGTGTATTCCAGGTAATAACACCACCTTGAGATTTTCAATATTTAATGTCCTTGCTATAAGTGCATTACCACTAAATTTCAGATACACCACGTTATGAAAAATGTTACGATAAATCTACACAAAAGAAACCGATTAAAACTTTAAGCCTGAAATATGAAGAGAATCTATTCCCTTTAATCCAATTTATTCCCTCTGAATTCAGATAATTAGAAATATCCAAGGATTTGCAAACTATGAATGGCTAAGTAGATTTTTCACCACTATCACTGAAGTTAAGTAAATCTGTTAGTGCTATGAGGAGAATTGCTATTCATATTCCTGAGAGCCACTTCTGTGTAGATTTGCAAAAGCGTTAATTTTTAAAAACAATTAATAATTATTTCTCTACTGATTTATTCCACTGCCTTAACCTACTTATCGCCTATTCAAGTAGCAGGGGCGGCTCCAGGCACCAGCGCAGCAAGCGCGTGCCTGGGGCGGCAAGCCGCGGGGGGCGGCCTGCCAGTCGCTGTGAGGGCGGCAGTCAGGCGGCCTTCGGTGGTGTGCCTGCGGGAGGGCCGCCGGTCCCACGGTTTCGGCGGCAAGCACGCCGAAGCCGCGGGACCGGCAGATCACCCGCAGAAATGCCGCCAAATCTGCATGACCGCGGACCGCCCGCATGCATGCAGTCGAAGGCCGCCTGACTGCTATGCTTGGGGCGGCAAAAAACAGAGCCGCCCCTGTCAAGTAGTTGCCTCCTTGACTGAAAACCATTTATTTACCCTATTTACTCCACTGCATTAGAACAACAGTTACAAAGGAAAATAACTACTCTTAGGTGCTACGAGAATAGAAATAATAAATAAGTGAAAGGAGCACTGTCAAATTATCTCCTTTTTGGGGGTAAAAATTAACACTTTTTCCAGTTGATGAAGCGCCTACCTAGAACTTTAAATAATGTTTCTAATGTACTTTGAAAATTAAATTAACCCTCTACATCACCTCTTAGGTAGGTAAATACTGTTGTTCTTTTAGAAACATGGAAATAATTATTTGATTCTGATTTATATCAGTGTAAATCGTGAGTGATCACAATGGAATTAGATTGGTTTAATAATCAGTGAGACGACAGAATCAAGCCCAGAGAGGTGAGGACCGAGTGTTTCACACGCGCACTCTAATTGCAAGTATCTAGCTTGAGACAGTTTGGGCCTGACTTACAGAGGTGGCGAACCACGGCTGTTCCCATTGGCTTTAACTGCAGTTGGGAGTGCTCAGCACCTTTAACAACCAGGCCCCAAGTGTCTGAAACATGGCACTGAAAAATCAGAGTCCGTTTTGACAATTTTGATCTCTGCGTCTTGCCTAAAGCTAAACCGAATCAGAGTCCAGACCTGGACACAGGAAGGTCTGGTTCCCGGTCCTGTGCCCTACATACAAGATTATCCTTTTTTTCAAGTGGAATGTGCACAGTTATCTACTTTTACTATGACAACCAAATCCATTCCTATGTAGCGTAAAATAGATTGGAAACAAATCCTGCTTGTGCAAAACTCTGTTCACGTGAGTTACATCAACTTACCCCAGAACAAATTCTTCCTTTGGCTTAGTTTTTTTCAGCTTTTTACTCCCACTCATCCCACTTTGGGAAAAGGCCCAGTTTTCTTCATTCCAGCATCCTTCATGGTCTGAGGAGTTGCCTTTTCCTGAGCTTCGTTTGCCTAGGAAAGGAAAAAGATTCTTACTTTCATCACGGAATCTGTGTCACAGTGCACTGGACTTGCAAGGACCCTGTATATCAAGAGTCACTCAACAGTGCAACTTCTGCTGACCGACTCTTCACATGTTTCTAAAATGGGTTCTGTGCCAACTTGGGTTCCTAAGGGATAAGAAGGTTACCTGGTAGCAACCAAATTTACCCATATTTACTACCTAAAAAGATCCCACGTTTGGAACCTTCTGCTAAACTGCAGGACCCCTACAGTGAGGATCTGCAGAGGTATAATGAAGGAGAAAAGGTTTCACAGATTTAATCTAAAGCAAAAGTAACCTCAAGGGTTCTCTCTTCAGTTTGGCTGTTCAGATTATCACCTTTGATTTGCTGCTCAGAGAAATGCTTTTAAATGCATCCTACTGAAAAGGTACATCACATATTTTAAACCCAAATTCATCTTTCCATTCAAATTCAAGGTTCTCTCACTGATTATCATCATCCACTTTTAACAACAGAGATGCTAAATTTGGAAACTGATGTCACATGCTAATCTCCCTATGTCTATCCTGAATGAATGAACTCCATACTGTTTCTAGATCCCTTCTCTATTATTCTGGCTGTGTACCTTATCTGGGGACCAGAATGCACACCAGAAAGGAGTTTGAGACACATCTACCTCTTCAAGGATTCAGAGCTATATCTAGAGACCAACAGCATTTCTTCATATAGGCAACTAATGCTCCAATATAGCTGGTCAGGGTTACATAAAAATGCAAGCCCTGCACAAACCAGCAGATTGGTCTGTTAACACATGTATTTTTAAAGTGAAATGTGCTTTAAAGACTATATTTTGCAATCAGATATGCAGTAAAGGGGAGGGAAATATGTCTACTAATTGAACCAAATAAATCACTGGTTGCGTTACAAGCCCGCACCTGATTTATGGCAGACTGAGAGAGATGCTGTTCAAACATAATATAAGACCTTTTGATTTATTTTTTTCTTCCTCTGTAAATAAATAGCAAAAATCACCTACCTCTGTCCACATTGGCACGCAGGGACGTGAGCATGCCCTCTGACACCAGAGTCTTATAAAGAGCACCTTTGCAAGATCGCTCTGATTTCCTGGAGCCACAGGTTTCAATCTTTTTATTACAGTCACTGTCTGCTGTTTTGACCTGTCCAGGTAAACTCTGTGGTACCACATCCTCTGTTGGGGTCAATGGTTCTGCTTTTATGTTGTCAGGTACCTCACAAGGCGCCTCCGTATTGGCTGTAATACTAAGAAAGTCGGGAGGCTTTGATTCTTTGGTGGTCTCCGAGGATTTCTCCTTTGATGCTCTCTTCTCTTTTGATTTCACTTTTTTCTTTGGTGACTTTGTGTCCAACACACTTCCCTTCATGTTTGAGGCAGGGCGGACCTTCTTCCGGGGGATTTCGACGAGTCTCTCGGCGCCCCAGTCGCCCTTTGCAACTGCTTCGATAGTATAAATGACGCTTTCAATGTCCGACTCAGAGGACTGCCTCTTTTTACAAGCCTTCTTGGGGGTGGATTTTTCGTTTGTGTGCCGGTCCAGCTTATTTTTTTTCTTTTTCTTTTTTATCTTTTCTGGTTTGGTCAGCCCCAGGGTATTAAAGTCAGCAAGTGAAAGCTCTTGAGAATGGCATGTGTGATCCTTTGCACTGGTACTATTATTTATCTCTAAAGTACTGCTGTCTGCTGCCGGATCAGTAAAGTGACTGCATTTTGTAACTTTCTCCAACTCTTCGGTTTTTGTCTTTTCGTCATTTTGATTTTTCACCATCTCAGATTCTTCCACTTTTACTTCCTGTGAGTCTTTCACGTTCACCTTCTCCAATTCTTTCACCTTCACTTCCTCTGGAGCTTCTGTTTTCACATCCACCGATGTTTCCACTTCCACCTTCCCAGGTTCTTTCACTTTTACCGCCTCTGATGCAAGGCACATCTAAAAAGTTTAAAACAACCAATCACCACCAATTAAATGCCCCTATCATTCAATTTATTTATTTAGATTTACATAAATGCTAGAAAAGGGCACTTATCTAAGGCCCTGATTTAGGAAAGCAGCCCCCCACATTCCGGATAGAACTTTAAACATCCCCCCATTCAGGATAGTATGCTGTATGATCTCCAGGTTTGAGGAAGACGCCTGAATCAGGGTGTAGATGCCCCTGACATCCTTTGAAAATACACAAATACACCTCTACCCCGATATAACGCGACCTGATATAACACGAATTTGGATATAACGCGGTAAAGCAGCGCTCCGGGAGGGGAGGGGCTGCGCACTCCGGTGGATCAAAGCAAGTTCGATATAACGCGGTTTCACCTATAACGCGGTAAGATTTTTTGGCTCCCGAGGACAACGTTATATCGGGGTAGAGGTGTAGTACCTAAATGCAGTGGTACAGTTCAATAGAACCCACCATTAGTAAACCAGGTAACTTACAAACTATTCCACCCCCTCCTTCTAATTCTGGTTCCTACTTTCAAAATGTCCGTGAATGAAGAATTTAACCAATTCTTGATACTATGATTTTTTCTTTATTCAATTGGCAAAACAAAGTAAAAAACCAAAACAAAATCTTTACATTCCTCTTACGTAATACAGAAAAATCCTCTCAAATCACAAGCCTCTTCAACACAGAAATGTAAAGTGTTACTACCTCGGAGCCAAGCTTCCTGGTGATACCAGTAATGGAGACTGAATCCCTCTATCTACCCACAGAACAGCTACTGTAAAGGATGCATTAAGTGCAAGCTTCTCTTAACTGTTCTCCCATTGGTCCTCAGCAGTGACAGAGTGATCAGTGCAGGACCTGACAGGGTAGTTCACAGTCTCCATGCCTTGGCTTCTGGGCTAAGGCCGCTAACAGGGGTAACCACAAGTGTCAGACCAACTTCCTCTGGGAAGATGTCCAAAACTTTAAGAGAAACACAAATCAAACCAAAACATACAAACAAATGACCACCAACTCCTTCAACAGAGGTCACCAAAAGAACCACTTGAAGGTAATAACTACTGACCTGGGCTGGATTTTAGCCATTGGCCTAGAAGTCTCCATACCTAGTACTAATTTACAAATCCCCTGGGCCTCCTGTCACTATGAAACTGAACATTTTCTTTTTCTCATACATCTTTTAAAATCACATAACCTATTTTACCTGCTTTACAGTTCAATAGGACCTTTTAGTTAAATCTGTAGAAATTAGAGATCCTTTGGGTGCATGGTGACCAGATGTCCCGATTCTATAGGGACAATCCCGATATTCGGGGCTTTTTCTTATGTGGGCATCTATTACCCCCCACCTCTGTCCCGATTTTTCATACTTGCTATCTAGTCACCCTATTTGGGTGACATGATTCTTTTTATTATTATTACTTTTGTTGAAGAAAACTTACCTCATGAGTTCAGATTTGGCTATAAGAAAGACAGTATCTAAAGAAATCCTGGTAATAATCTCTCATAGTCTGTTTATTTAAATAAACTGAAATTTTCCAAGTCCCCTAAGAGGCTTGGAAAATCTCAATCTTAAATCTTTAAAATATCCTGTTCATGTGACAGCAACTCCATTTTTAACCCTTCTTCTCTGCTCCATACCTTTTCTTCTAAAGCTTGTAACATAACCAGCAGAGAAGACTTTGGACTGCTTTAGCTGCATGGCTATGAAAGGGACTTTGGATGTTGTAGGCTATAAACTAACTCATGGCATGTGGTCTTATGATTTGGAAGGCTTAGAAAAAAGAGAACTTTAAATGTTTCCACACTGTAACTACTCCCAGAAGGACAGTCTGATGTCAGCTGCAACGTATCAGAACACAGTTCCTCCAGAAGTCATACATGTATTCATCACTTTAAAATAACTATCTGCATGAGTGGAAATAAATGGAAGTGACTGAAGCCTTCTAAAACATATTTGCAATGACAATGCCCTGATTTGAATAAAACCCCAGAAGTGTTCATTTAAAATAATTTGAATACAAATCAGATAAGTCCTTTGCCATCAGAGGTTCTGACTTTTTAACTGTTAACTCAGTAGCATTAAGAGCCTGTGCTTTAATGGCTAGTCTAGGGAAATCTTGACTCTTGGCACCCAAGTGATAATTAGTATTGTTGTTTATAGAAGCATAAATTATGACTGTGCCACTGTTCTGACTGCCAGACTCGGGCAATCAGCATTATTAGCGTCTCCTCCCCACTGCACCAGTGGTAATTAATCACCACTATTTTAATATTACCTCTGCCAACTGAAACAACGCTGACGTCCCACACTGCTTTGTTAAGTCAGGAGGGCCTGAATGGGATGTACTTGAGGAAATCTTAAGCAAAAAACAAAGAAGGAAAAAAACATTACTTCTCCAATACATCCTTCCTGTATGTTGAATTTAAAATTTTTACAAGGATGATTTTTCCTCCAGCGATACAGTCATAAACGTCCATATTGTGAGAAAAAATTTCATTCATGGTACATCCAAAGGGCTCATCGCTGGATTTTCCTCCTTATAAATAAGAAGCTAGTGCCCTCAGACAATGCCACGAAGGGTGATTTTCTACTTCTGGATTCTTATTAATCAGGGCATCATTTAGGAGAAGGCTGACATAAAGGACAAGTTCTCCTGCTCCAGTACATTGTTGTAGCTCCGCTTGGAGTCAATGGAACTGCTCTGGTTTACACTAGTGAAGAATCTAGCCCAAACTCGTTCTAAATGTACCTTTCCCCTTGCATCAGTTTAGTGCTTATCTTCAGCACTTCAAGGGAGCCTGAATAAGAAGTGTTGAGGAAGACTCTAAAACACAACCACTTTCTCAAATGTATTAGAGCACCAATCCAAGCATCTCAACATTAGGCCTCAACATTCCTGCAAAGCCGTTATTTTTATACTCCAAGAACTCTGACGCCGTCAGTTAGGCTCTACACCAGCCTTGCAATGGGGGAAGGGGATGCACAGCTGCTTCAGGGGAGTGAGGTGCAGAACTTGAGGGGGTAGAGAGCCTATCCCCAAACAACTCTGCACTCATTTTGGTCCTTCCATCTAGCCCCACTGGAGCCATGAGAGTTACTTTACAGGGACCCCACCCCACCCCCAAATCACTACCATAGAGACAGAGAGACCAAAAATATCCTACTGGGGGGTCAATATCCTTGAAGAGGTTGCATCTTTTCACATGATCTCTTAATCGGTCAGAATTATTCTTCAATGGCCCTGAGCTGTCAGCAGTTGAGGCTGCACAGCTCATAAACTATCTGTGGTAGAACCAGACTCCCTGCACTGAGTCACGGAGATACTGTAAATGCTCACTGCCTCCCTGACATGGTTCTCCTCACCTTAGACCGGAAACAGGATAGAGAGTGATTCTGTAGAGATGTAGATCTCTATGGAACCCACGGCTGAACTGCATGGCTGTGGCCTTCCAAGCAGACACCAGATTGTAGCCCTAAAAGTAGTTGCTTCAACCACTACTAGAGCTTACACTAAGATATTTGGCCCACTTTTAAATATATTTTTGGTGCTGTTTGCATAATACTGACAAAAATCAATCTAAAAGAAGAGAGAGATGAAGTGGTGAGTTTGATTCTAATCCATACAAATAAAAAAGAGTGGGGGGAAATGCAGGTATGGTCAAACCTGAACTACTTATTGGCCGCCGACGATGGGGTCCCAGAGTCCGGTGATGGGTCCCCAGAGCTTAGGGTTCACTCTGGGTGGGGAGTGGGAAGCCTGCTCCTCTCCAGCACACAGCACATGATGTTTGGATTACAATGGTGCAATGCAAATGCCTGCCAAATGAACTTGCAATTCTGGGGTTCACTCCAGGGGTATGAACACGGCATGTTAGGGCAGCTTCAAATTAATGCCTGATCTGCTCACCCAGTAGTCATTAAAGAATTAAGAAATTCAAAAGTTAAACAGAACCTCTCATATTTTATGCGTCCAACTGGGATCAGGCGTCACAGAGAACACAAAACCAAAACCACACCAAAACCCCTATGTGAGCTTTTCACAGGCTAGCTGATTCTTGAAGGGGACTTGGGCCCCGCATCACCTGTAACAGACCAGTGACCCTCACAGCTGATCAGCTAGGAATCAGATGGCCTTGTTTATCGGGTAGACTCAGGAGAAGGGTAGCGCCCAGGCAGATGGCCTGGAGGAGGACTGAGGAGGGTTGCGGGAGGGAGTCTATCTGGCCTCTGCGACTGGCCCTGGAAGAAGGGAGATTCCCAGAGGGGAAAAGCCCAGACAGTCAGCTCTCTCTGTAGGAGAGTGGGAAAGAACGGACTGTGGAGCCCAGGAAGGGCAGAAGACCTTTTGTTTATGTTGCTCTTGGGACTATTTACTAAGTTTGCTACCAGCACCTCACTGGGTGGTGCCTGGGGGACGGGTCACTTGCAGGTTTACACTAGTGTAAATGGTGGATCCTCTGTAACTTGCAGTCTTTAAAACATGATTTGAGGACATCAGTAACTCAGCCAGAGGTTAGGGGTCTATTACAGATGTGGGTGGGTGAGGGTCTGTGGCCTGCAATGTGCAGGAGGTCAGACTAGATGATCATGATGGTCCCTTCTGGCCTCAAGTCTATAAGAGTTTCCCCAGAAGACTAGTGCAAAAACAGAGGCAAGGTGAATAGTGCCGTAGTGGCCACAAGAGCAGGCTTTTCAGGCTGACTCGGCCAGAGCTAATATGCTGCATCTTAAGAAGGATGTGTGCAGAATGTCTGCCATGTTTTTATTAATTTAAGTTGGAGCCTGTACCTTACATTTAGTTTGTATATTAAATTAGGTTTGTATGGACCTACTTAAATAATCATCGTGAGAAAGTTCCTGGATATTTGTTTCAGATCCAAGTTGCTCACTGCCAGACTCAGTCTCCTCTTCTGCTTCAATTGTGCTACAACTCTGCACTCCTGTGGGCAAGCATATGGACTTTCCTATGACCCCTAAGGATTTGTTTCTTAAGAGGTGCCAGACCTTCACCTAGTGGTGATATGCAAACATCAGGCCTGTTTCAACAGTGTTACTCCAATGCCGTGCTGGTGTAACTCCAGTGAAGTCAGGCTCACTATTATTAAAGGGGCACAACATTAAGATGACGTACAGAATGCTGTCTAATAAGCAAAGGAAGGAGATCGTTCAACACATTTCTAGTGTTCACTAGCTTTTTTGGCTTGTTTTCAGAGCTGCAAAGGTCACATCCCCCTACAGATCACTAGCTCCTGCTAACTGTGATCACCCTAGCATGCACCCTGCTGGCAATGTAGCACACACACACACACACACACACACACACTAATGAACCCTGCTCGAGCCTGGGGACTGCCTAAAGGGTAAGGCAAATCTCTTCTTTCCACTCATGCATGTTTCTTTAAAATGTATCTTTCTAGTATCCTTATTTTCTAACCAAGAAGGCACAAAACATTACTGTTATGCAGTCAGGGGGGAAAAAAAACCCCACTCTACGTGGGTCCAAATTCTAGAGTTTTTTCAATGGTTCCAGATTCTAGATTTCTCTTCAACAGAATGAGTGTTGGGATGGCACTGGATGGGAGTCAGCTGTGGTCTTGCATGGTAAACAAAAATGATTAATGAACAATATGCTGAAATGTTCCCTTTTCCTTATTTATCTGAGGGACCCCAGCACACATCCTTTAATTTGTAAATTATCGACATATTAAAAATAACATATCCAAGCCAAAAGTCAAGGGGATGGGGTATGTTTTATCAACAACAAACAAGCTGACATTTCAGATGCATCAGGACTTCCAGTAGGGTCTGGGACACCTAAATTTCAGCTAGTTTATTTATCACTACCAAATACTCACATGGTAATTGTAATCTTGGATACTGATTGCAGCCCCCACTGTTTATATAGACCCTCACATTCCTCAAAACCTGCTTCTTGCTTCCTAAATTGGGTCACATCCCCCATGTTTAAGTCCTATTCAAGTCACATACTGAAGTGTGACTACATACTTTTCTGAATCAGGACCCTGGTATCCGCAGTGACCAATCATCTACACCTTCTCTTGCCGTACCTGTTGTCCTGAATGGTGTTTTTGTCCGAGTTGTACTGTAAGTTCTCCAGGGCAGGAATCTGATCCTGCTTTCTAAGGGACCATTTGCATTGACAACATAAATGAATTAAAAAAAGGTAAGCCGTAGGTATCCCCAATGACAGCATCATTATTTGAGTTACTATTCAGGCTACCTTTTTTCCCTTGTTGCTAAAGGTAAGTTTGGTGCTAGACTAACCTGTGTAACCCACGCGTTTTGGGAAAAATCTGCACACACGTTCACATCATGATGGTAACAGGAACCTTACCTCTGCCAGCTGGAAGAGTGCTGACTTCCCACAGTGCTTTACAGGCTCAGGGCTCCCCAGCTGTGAAGTATTTGATGAGATCTACATTTTGAACAAACAGAAGAGAGAACATTTCAGGGTCACTGGGGAAAGGGGGGGGGGAAGGCTGATTGTCCCTCAGCTTCTCTTGGGATATTGCAGACAGTCAGTATAAACACAGAACCCCAAGTTAGGAAAGCATCCCTATTCAGGAAGCACTTAAGTATGTGCTGAAGTTCCATGAAAGTCAACAGGACTATATAAGTTTCTTCCTGAATCAGGACCTAGGTGAGTAACCACATTTTTTATTGGATTTGTAACTCCATAGATGACACATGCTGGCCATGCAGGTTTTTCTACATCATTTGTCTTAAGTGATCACCTAAGGGACCACAAAAAAACCCCATCTGCTACTTAGCAGAGGTGGGTCTTTTGCTAAAGTATAAAGTTATACTGGAAACATTGGGGAATCTTTCTGTGTGGTTACTTAAAGCAGAGTATTGTTTGTTTGAGATGGGTGCAGCCTTCAATGTATTCCTTTAAGGCAGGGGTCGGCAACCTTTCAGAAGTGGTGTGCCGAGTCTTCATTTATTCACTCTAATTTAAGGTTTCGCGTGCCAGTAATACATTTTAACGTTTTTAGAAGGTCTCTTTCTCTAAGTCTATAATATATAACTAAACTATTGTTGTATGTAAAGTAAATAAGGTTTTTAAAATGTTTAAGAAGCTTCATTTAAAATTAAATTAAAATGCAGAGCCCCCCGGACTGGTGGCCAGGACCCAGGCAGTGTGAGTGCCACTGAAAATCAGCTCGCCTACCGCCTTTGGCACGCATGCCATAGGTTGCCTACCCCTGCTTTAAAGTTAAACAAAAGCTTTCAGTAAGTAAAGTTTTCCGGATCAATAAGGTCTTATTTGCCCTTTTACATAGACACTGCTATGCCTGCCTTAGCAGATGCCTAGTGGGCCACTTCACAGAAGTGCCTTAATCTACCTGTTGTTACTGGTGGCACAGCAAAGAGAGCATTTTAACCTAATGGCAGTCACACTGCTCAGAGAGCATCAGCGCAGCAGTTCATTGTGCTGTCCCAATCTTGGCTTTGTAGAATTAAATGGTATTGTTTGGAATGAGAGACTCCGTCCCTTAACATTGGTTTTTCAGGGCACAGGTGTTCCTGAGACAGTTTCTTCATAACACACACATTTATATTCACAGTCTTTTGGGATATACAAGGCCACTCTAATTTTTGTTTGCAGGTTTGTCCACCCCTGGGTCTAAATGTGTTTTTATATCACATTTTTCCTTTGGAATAGATTACTTTACTTTGCAGTTTCAAGGGGATACACTGGAATTAAAAAAAACAACACCCATTTTATTGCCACTCATTCACCATACGCCTATGTTTAAAATACATGGGAACATTATTTTTGTTTAATATTTATTAATAGTTATTACTTCTATTACAGTAGCTCCTGGTGGTCCAATCAAAACTGGGTCTCTGTTGTGCGAGGCATTATATAGCCTATATAGCCCACCCCAAAGAGCTTCCAGTCTAAAACCTGATCCTCCAATGAGCTCCATAGAGGCAGACCCCTTAAGTACACAGAGCCCCATTATAGTCAACGAGGGAGTGTACGCAGTGATCCTCTGGCACAGATTGGCTTGCAGGATCCGGGTCTTAGTTTCTTTCATTTCTATTCGATAGTAACTTACATGATACAAATATTAACCACAAGGCAGATCTCCTCAATTCAACATCAAAGCTACAGAGGGGTCTGGAAAAGTAACTCCATGTGGCTTAAACAGAACATGAGCTCACGCAGAGGCATGTTCTGATTTTTGACACCACACATCCAAACCAAACAGAGTGGCAATACATCATTAATTGTGATGTGGACATTCACAACCAAATGATGGCAGAGCTGTTGTTACAGTTTTACAACGTGGGAGGAGAAGTCAACATATTAGCTTAGCGTGAAATACGCTCAACAGCTTTGAGAACAAACTGCAGGAAACACAGCAAGCTTAGAATTTACCACAGAGAAGATGTTTGCTGGGCTTGGGAGGTGACAGAAGGATCAAACAGCTCCCAATAATGATTTCAAATTTTACTCTCTTCTCATTAAATGTAATCTTCTAGTTTTAACAGAATTATCAGTATCTACCACACCTTGCTAATTTCCATTCACCTCAAGCATGAATGGCTAGTTCTTATACACAGGATTGGCTTCTGATCCCACAAACACACTTATTTTTAGGATCATGTTACTATCTCAGAGCCCTTTTACAATAATTGCCAATATTTTAGCTACTATTTATGGCATGGGCTGTATGTTATGCCATAGCATATACTTTTTGTTGCCTATGGAGTATAGGGCAACTCAGACATTTAGTAAAATGTTAAGGCCTTAACTAACACTAATATTATAAGCATATTTACATATTTTATATAATGATAATCTATATAGGAAGATTATGGCTTTTTCCTAAACTTGGAGTTGGGAGAGAGGGGGAATAGAGAATCAGCCATTGTGTATACAAATATCACGCCTCTAGGTCAACCTCTAATTCGCAGGTGTTTTGCCTCTAATTGCTAGATTAAAATATTTTGCACAAAACCCAAACAAAATGTAAAAAGAGTTGTCTCTAAGTCTATTGCACGTGGGTCAGTGAAGCTACACGGGATGCATTCTGCCCCAAGCGTTTGTGTGTCCTGACTGCAAGTAGGGTGAGGGAATAGAAAGGGAAATTATACATTGCTGCAACAAGAGTACTAGCCTGCACTTGTTTTGAAGTTAGTCTAGAGAAAAGCTTTAGTAGAGCAGCTAAAAGAAGAGTACTGATTTTTGAGGTGATAAGCCTGGTGATTTTATTCCCATCGTTCCTTGGAAACATTTTTGTTGTTTAATAAAAGATGAGAATTTAGTTAAGTAAACCCAAGGGGAGCTTGCGAGTCTTCACTACAGAGCGTTCATCACCATCTGTTCTAATTTGCCAAACAGAGATTCAATAGGCCCCAAGAGCAAGTGTTTCCATCTGCTCCTTTTCCCTCACCCGGAAAGAAGGAGAAAAGCAGCTAGCAGCACATGGCCAGAGAACTCTCCAAGAACCACCAGCAAGTGCACCTCAAACCACTGTCCGCTGATCAACCTCTGGCCTAGATCACGACCTTCCATGGAAAACCCCATGGAGAGACAAAATTTAAGAACATAAGAATGGCCATACTGGGTCAGACCAAAGGTCCATCCAGCCCAGTATCCTGTCTGCCGACAGTGACCAATGCCAGGCAGGGAGTGAATCTAACAGGTAACGATCAAGTGATCTCTCTCCTGCCATCCATCTCCACCCTCTGACAAACAGAGGCTCGGGACACCATTCCTTACCCATCCTGGCTAACAGCCATTAATGGACTTAACCTCCATGAATTTATCTAGTTCTCTTTTAAACCCTGTTATAGTCCTAGCCTTCACAACCTCCTCAGGCAAAGAGTTCCACAGGTTGACTGTGAGCTGTGTGAAGAAGAACTTCCTTTTATTTGTTTTAAACCTGCCACCCACTGATTTCATTTGATGGCCCCTAGTTCTTATATTATGGAAACAAGTAAATAACTTTTCCTTATTCACTTTCTCCACACCACTCATGATTTTATATACCTCTATCATATCCCCCCTTAGTCTCCTCTTTTCCAAGCTGAAAAGTCCTAGCCTCTTTAATCTCTCCTCATATGAGATCCATTCCAAACCCCTCATCATTTTAGTTGCCCTTCTCCGAACCTTTTCTAATTCCAGTACATCTTTTTTGAGATGAGGAGACCACATCTGTACGCAGTATTCAAGATGTGGGCGTACTATGGATTTATAGAAGGGCAATAAGATATTCTCTGTCTTATTCTCTATCCCTTTTTTAATGATTCCTAACATCCTGTTTGCTTTTTTGACTTCAAGCGGTCAGGACCACTACAGGGTGAGCAGGGGCCTGGGTCCTTAACTCAATGATATCACCAGATCTCTTGGACTTTCCTATGGATTTTTAAACATCTCTATGGCATCTGCACGCACATCCAGATAATGCTGCACTACTCCTAGGGCTCTCGTCCCCTGTTGTGGCCGGTCAAGAACAGGCAGGCCTGATTAGCCCTATCATCAGTTTTAATTGAAAAATATAGCACTTGGTGAAAACAAGAAGGTGAAAGGCATACTGGGACTCTCAGGAAGAAAGAATGCCATGGTATGTAATGAGCTGTCTATGAGTGACAGGGGAATTCTATTCCTGGGGCAAAGGATGGCCATTATAAGTGACCCATCTACTTGATGGGATCACTCTTTTCACAAAGAGTCAGTCTTATCCACTCCTGCTGTGAAGGGAATAAAGAGAAAGGGAACATATGAGGAACACCCAGTCAGAACAAAACGCTATCTGGGACGGCTGCCAAGAATCCCCAGGCACACTGGCTCACAATGCATTTCACATCATTTCACAGGACTATTCCACTACTGGTTAAATATCTACTTTCACTCCTTTTTTTAGTGGCACTGTACATTGCTCATTGCAGTATGCTGCAAACTGCTTACCATAACTCAGCTTACTAATGGCAGCAATGCATTAATAGACCAGCCACAGGAAGAAGTGGCAGAGCAAGGAATGGGACTTTTGTCAAGTGTGACAAAGATGCCCTGTGTGAATGAAAGTCCTGTATTAGAAAAAAGCAGAAGCAGAGCTAACAGCAGAAAGAAGGGCTTAAATAGGGTTACCATATGTCCGGTTTTTCCCGGACATGTCCGGCTTTTTGGTAATCAAACCCCTGTCCGGGGGGAATTGCCAAAAAGCCGAACATGTCCAGGAAAAATACCGCCGGCCGGGCACTTCCTCTCCCGCGGCTGCTGTGCTCCCTACCTTGACTCTTCTGCTCTGTTTAAAGCCGAGCTGCCCGAGTGCTACCGGCTTCGGGCAGCCCCCATGCTTCCGGACCCTCAGCCGCTGGCCGGGCACTTCCCCTCCCGGGCTCCGGGGGCGCAGGGTCCAGACGCATGGGGGCTGCCCAAAGCCGGGGCTGCCCGGCAAACTGTGAAGCCGGTAGCGCTCGGGCAGCCCTTTTCACGTGGCTGGGAGGGAGGAGGGGGAATGCGGGGCGCTCAGGGGAGGGGGCGGAGTTAGGGCGGGGACTTTGGGGAAGGGGCGGGGCTGGGGTGGGAAAGGGGCGGGGCCAGTGCCCCGTGGAGTGTCCTCTTTTTTTATTTTTTAAATATGGTAACCCTAATTTAAAGAGATACTACAGATTGCTGTGTGTTTCCCACTGGAACAACCTAGATGAAACCAGGCTGCATACCACCTCCCCAGTGCTGTGGAGCAAGATGTTAGTCACTGCAGTTAGCATTGCAATGATGTTGGCATGACACAGGGGAGTAACCCTTGGTGAACAAAGGTTCTTGGTGCTGAAGTGTTTTTATGACCCTGACCAGATTTGAAGTAAATTATTGTCCTAAACTTCAGAGGCAAGGCCAGCCTGGAACAGACATTCTTCTCTTCCAACATAAAATAAGTCCTAGCTACATGTAGCAGAGTAAGGAAAGGTTTTAACATTTCCAATAGAAAAAACAGATCCTATATTTAAAAACTCCCCCTTTCAAATTAACCAATAAAATGCACCTTCCAAGTTCCCCTGACTTCTACTGTTTCACACAACATCTTCAGTATACTGAGTGAACTAGCTGGGCATAAGTAGGTGCATCATTAAACGCACTTACGGTACCTTCCTACAGGAAAGCTAGGAAACATTAATACATTTTTATAGAGGTTCTGTGAAATCCTAAAATCAGAGACATAATCATCTATTAACTTCTTTAGGATGGTTTGATAATTCTGTAGGCAGGCGATCATATTTTGTTCAGTTCTACAGGTTGTTGTTAATAGAGTCATTTGGATAGCACACAAACGATGGTAGAGATTTTAATAGCTGACGAGGGGATTTAGCTACACAACTCAATTGTGGTATTCACATTTATAGGAGTTGTGTATCCAAATTCTGGCGCTAGCTTCAAAAGTCTCACCCTATGGCTTCATCCTATTAAATTCTATAGGCTTTTCCCATGAGGGTTGCCCAATCTGATTTATAACCATTCAAGAAAAACATTTAGTACATCTGGACCCTTCACTGCTACTGTACATTCATGCTATTGTGTGTCTTGCCAGGATACTGCTATTCAGACATTTTCTGACCCCTTAATGGTTACCTGCAAATTATTGTTTTACACTTAGATCTCTTGTCAGTAATGATGTATCCTGAATGCCCATCATAGCCAGGCAATTATTTTTAATTATCTTAAAGCTTAACACAAAGGAAGACACAGGGCTGGATTATGCCCAAGCCCATATGAGAACAAAGGATGATGAGTAGGGAGTACGGCGGTTCCTGGATCCCATAATGCACCCGTGCAGGGCCAGGCACAATCCCAGTTCTTATGCTCAAAGAACAGAGACTACGAACACCTAGCTCCACGAGCAATACTAGACTCCCCAAAATAGACTGGAAGGAGGTAGGACCACATTATTAAATACATTCAACATATTCCTACAGCTGAGGGAACTCTGTTAAAATTATCCGTAGGTCACCATAATGTACACATTCAAGTACAGGTGGCAGAAAAAAAAAAAAAAAGAAGCAGCAGCTCTAGCCACACGTTGAAGGTATTTTTGGATACGTCGTCTAACGTGCTTTATTTACTGATCCACTATGGCATTATGTGGCCTTGTAACTCTTGAGATTTGTTTGCTCTGCTCTGCATCTCTCTATTTCTAAGGTGTATGCTTCCCGCCTGCAGAGGCAGCTGTCATTCTGCAAGCTGCTGCAGCTCCTTACAAAGGAGAAGCATGCTGCCACTTTCGATCATCCTCTGTTTGTTGCTTCCCTTGATCTAAAATAAGAGGCCCTTTGGAATGAAAGTCTGCGGCTCTTCTTTGGTATGGAAAGACACATAATATCCCTGACTTCACTGCTTTTGTGTATGTGGAGCTCTGGTGTTATGTGCGGTGTGTTAGAATAGCAAACCTACCTCTCCCTGGATCACTGGTTACTACGCCAACATTCTTCCCCAGCAGAAGGCTCAAATCAATTCTGTTATGCTGCTGGGAATTTACTGCTTGTTCCTTTCGCTGCTACCGATGTAATCACCTGGTGTAACCCACATGCTTTATACTGCAGCATTTGAATTTGTTTCTCTTGTGGTGGAGGAGACATGAATCTTATCCAGATACTCTGTGTCTCTGCACAGATGCAGAGAACAGGGCAGGGCAACTCAGGTGAAAGGATCCAGGAACTTCCAGAATGGGGTGGAAGAGTTACCAGATATGCTCAGTAGCTATTCTGAGACTATAGGAATTTTTTTCATTGTGGTCACCACACCTGACAGGTCATACCCTCGTCACCCTCTGAATGCTGAGCCAATTATAGAGGAGTTAAAAACAGCCCTGTAGACTCAGCAGCTGATGGATACAGGACCAAAAGATGTGTCTGCTGTGAGGGATGAGTCCCTTTCCTTGTGCCACTTTGGATACGGGGCAGGGCTATTCTAGCTGTATTTACTAGGGAAGGCTAATGTTTGGTCCACCATGGTGTGTTTTGTGGGCCTAAACAGAGAGCTGGGAGGGGAGCATGTGTTACCCCTACATGCTACAGAGCCTGTGGACCTACATTTAGCTACATATTACCTAACTGCTCTAAACGTGGATTCTGTCTCAGTTAGAGAGAGAGAAAATGGGGTAACACTTCAGCAAAGAGTTAAGTTGAGGTGCAGGAAGAAGGTAAGTGAACAGTTATACAGAATATTGCCTGTACAGCTCCATCCTCCCACTATGCTTGCAAAGGCTGATCAGTCATAATTAACAATATCCTTTCCTCTCTCCCACTTAAAAAAAATAGTTAAGTTGTTATACCTCCGCAAACTGAAACAGTGCTGACTCCTCCGTTTGTTTTGCAGCCGCCGTGGCATCAGGTTGTGATGGGCTTGAAGAGAGCTGGAGGGAAAAACAATTATTTTCTATATAATCATCTCTAGTTTCAACATTCTACACTTCTTATACCGAAATGTACAAAGACTCCCTGTATCCAAGACCATGCAGATAACTGTACTGTAAAGAGTACTTGGCTTTCCTAAGGGGCTAATAAAAGGTAATCTGTGAGGAGTAATTACATCACTTTCACTATTAAAATCACCGTGAGAATGAATACAACATAATAGATTTTTAAAGAGCTTTTACTGCTTCACTGAATAGTCAAAATAAAAAAGTAACACCACCTCATGTTTCACAGTTCAGTGAAAGGGGTATTTCACTGCAGTATGCTGGCATTTAAAAAGCACAATAAACCACTTAATTTGGAATGTGTGTGGATGCAGACATTGTAACAGCTGCACAAAACCAAAGCGAGGCACTGGATAAATGCCAGTAGCCATAGCCATAGACGCTGGACTTTGTAATCGGAATTTCTGATTAACATTGGGTTTGTATAGCGATTTATTTTCTACTGCCACAAATGCCTGCAATGTAACCAGAAGCATGTTTTAATTTCCAAGGAACAGGCCAACAAATAGGCATCTGAGATGAAGCATATATGAGTAGCTTCCAACTTGCTCACCTTACATGGATGTGCAGATGTGGCTGTGGATTGGCACCCTACCCTGCCACTGGGTAAGGAAAAGCCAATGGGATTTAGTAGGAGGTCACAGGGCCTCAGCATAACCATAACTACAGCACCTAACAAAATGCTGCACAACGTCCCTCCTGCCCACGGCATTGCAAAATGAACAAATGCAATCAGTAAGTGAGCTGTGATTTCCCCTATATTACCAGGACTTACCAGGAAACTCCAAGAAAAAGGCCATTAAAAAAAAAAAAGATGAAGTAGAGTGATTTTCGCTGTTTTATAGGAATTGTGCAAATGCTACATTAGAAATATTGGATGATGAATATTTATTTATTATCCCCACCACCACCACCAACATGGACACTGGACTTTTACGGTGGTGGTAAGTGATCTTATTACTGGCTGGCAAACTGAGTTTCCCTTCCCCTCGAAAGTGAAGCTATTAGCTTTTAAAAATTCAATATTATATATTTTATTCTGGCTGTTATCTTTCCCGATACATTAAGGATCTGTCTATTCATGTATTTCAGGAGTTTTGAGATCTTAGCTTGAAACCTTGGGTTTTGTGGGTTGAAGTTAAGATATGAGCATTCATTTATTTTGGGGGTGCAGGAAGAGAGGGAAACGTTATTAGCACTAAAAAACAGGAGGCTCAGATCCACAGCTGGTGTAAATCGGCAAAGCTTGATTATCTTCAGTGGAGCTAGAGTGATTTAGACCAGCTAAGGATATGGCCCTAGTGCGTCTGCTTTAACTGAATGTCTTTGCTTATGGGTTTAGATTAGCCCTTATGTGTCATCCGCCCCACTCCCCCCGAGCTGTACGGAACTTAGCCACACAACGCCCCCTACAGTTCTCAAGATTTCCACAGCTCACATATTTACATTTGTGTGTGATTTCATTATTTACAATCATTTTAACAAATCAGAAAAACATTGTATAAACTCAAATGAGCCACGGATGTTCAGTGAGGGCTGAGGTTCTTTGGGAACGGTGTACTGTTCATAAAAGACATTTGCAGCATATAGCATCTACTGCAGATGTTCCAATATATGCCCTACATACCAAACAATAGCAGCTGCAGAACTTTTGAACAGTTTGGTTCAACTGAATACTCAGCCTAATAGCCTTATATTGGTAGCTCACATTTCCTGCTGTTTTATATTTTTTTAAAATAACAGATTCATCTCCAGGCATGCAAAAAGATACATTTTAAAAATAGTGCTTAACAGAATATCAAAACTGAAATGAGAAGAAAATTTCACCCTGCAACAAATCAATGAATGTACAAATACTTTGGTGCTGGGCTAGGATATATGCCAAGTTTAAGCCCAAACGGGAACTTTGTTGCCAAACTACAATATCCTGAAAATTGGGAGCTTCTAACAAACTCCAGGTGATCATTAACCTGAGACCCTTCCTGGCTGTTAGCAAAAGAGAGCCCACTTTATTGACAGACTCTCAAAGGACTTAAACATGTTCAAGAAGTCAAATGAAGTCATCCTCTGGAGTCAAATTGCCATATGTGAAGCCAAAAGGAAGCGCTGCTGGTATGTAATGAAAGGAGGCAGGGAAAGGGATATATAGTACAAAGTCTGCCTTCTAGGACAGCTGAGAATTCAGGACCTAATCCACACAAGACTTACTCTGTCCTCAGTGGGACTACTCACAAGTCTATAGTGACTGAGGCGTATAAGACTTTGCAGGATTGGGCCTGGAGTGTTTGGTCCGCTCTGTGGCTGTAGAATAAAGGAAGACTGTGGAGCATCCACAGGCTGTCAGAAGCAATACAATCACTTTTGACTGAGTCAACTGCTAAAATGGTTACATTGGCTCAGATCTACCATTTAACTATACAGAACTCTATCAAAACCTTGGCTTGTAAGTAAAGAGCCTGGGCAGCTAAGGCTATTCCTGCACCACATCGAACTGAATGCTTCTTTGAACACCATTACAGTGCTGTGTTTAGGGTTTCCATCATGTGCTATATACACTTTTCTGCAGCTCAAGTCTGGCTTCCCCATAAATAACAGGAATGGAGGGAGGGAAGCATGTAGCTGAAAACATTTGAGTCAAGGCTTGTCTTCTTCAGCTAAAGGGTTTGGGATTTCTTTAAAAAAAAAAAATTGTGGAAAAAATCATCCTGTTACTTTTGGAAACTCACCTCTGCAAACTGGAACAATGGTGACTTCTGACATGCTTCAGTAGAATTAGATGCATCAGACTGGCAAGTACTCGAGGAAACCTGAAACAGTGATGACAGGGAATAAAACATCAATGACATGCCTATAAAGACAGCAGCAATATCTAGTAACAAGAAATACTGTGCAGCAGCACCAACAGCATTCAGAAGCAGTGTTTAACAGAAGATGGACAGCCTGATGTTCCATAATCCTGAATACACAGAAGTGAATGGAAATAAAGGTGAGGTCAGTACTATAGAATCCTTTTTAATACACCTCACAATGGTTTAAACAGCAGTTAGGCCCAAAATATGACATTTGGTTTTGATTTTAAACTTCACGAAAGGTTTTATGAAACCAAATATTAAAAGGACAGTCTCAAATTAAACATACATATGACTTGTGTTGGTCATGCTGTGGGATCTGCTACACCTCCTACTTGAAAATTTGTTATGGAGAAAAAGTTAGATTATTCTAAAAGCAAAAACACAACCCACACCATTTCAAAAACTGATTAAGTATGCTAAGTGACAAAAGTGTATTTACTTATAACATTAAAAAAAACAACCAAGTACTTAAAAGCAAGAAAATGAGTAGTTAAAGGACACCATAAGTCTTGAATTGTTCACTTAACAAAGACATGGTATGGAATTTTTAAGAGTGCTTAAGTGACTTAGGACCACTTAGAACCTTCCACTGAAATTCACTTAACACAAAACAAGCTAACAAAAATAGAACATTTAAAACACTATTCTGTGGGTCAGAATAAAGGCTATTGTGATTGAATATGCATTACTTGGTACTTGATTTTCAAAAGCATTTAAGTGACTTAGGAGAACAAGTCCCATTTAAAGGATAATATTAAGTACGAAATATATTTATGAAATGTCAATTTTTTCAGGGTGAAGAGTTATAGTTGCTGTCTCAGGAGACTTGTATTTTCAGCTTAATAGAAGTGCGTAGCATTGCACGGTAAAATTATGTACACGGACCTTTTGGAAGCTGATCAACAGCCAATCAAAAGTGAGGAGGCTCTGTGGAATTGTGGGTATGTGCGTGCACACACACACACACACACACTGAAGGATCTAGGGATCCTCCCCCATAGAATTTTTAAATGCCAGATGCAATTTCCTGCATTAAGAAGATTTAAAGTATTTTATAAACAAACAAGACAATTTCCTGGGCATTTATCTTAAATTCTTCACCACAATACATTTGCCAATGGCAATTAGTAACAAATGCTGCACACCAAAACACGGAGGGCCCCAAATGCCCTTGTTGATTTGCCAGATACAAATATTCCCCCCCCCCCCATGTACTGGTTGGTAATTTTTGAATTGGAGGTGAGGGGAGACTGCTGGTTGTATTGTTCTATAATTGCATTTTAAATGTGGTGCTGAGACCCCTCAAGAAGTGAGCTTTTTGGGGGGCTCATATTATGCATAAGCCGAAAAACTGACCCACCAGCAGCTTAAGTGGTGTGACTCTGGAGCTTTCCGAGCTAAGGATGTACATTTGTGAGAACACACGTGTCTGTCGTTTATAAGCACAGGGGAGTCATTACAACAACCAGGACGAGAAAAGGCACCAGAACGTCCGGTTGTTCTTTTTGGAGATTGCTCCTGCAATCTACTCATTGCAGCCGAGGCACAGATAGAAGTTACCGCCAAAGAATTTGCTACTTGGGATTCTGATCTCACCCTGCTGCCGATGATCTCTCGGCTCATTAGCCTCCTATGTTCACTTATGGACTACTTTTTCCTGCAAGATGATCAATGCAATTCATATGCCACAAGTGAATGAGATTCTACACAAACAGCCCCACAAGGCTACCTTGACACCCTCCTGCCACCTCTACTCAAAAAAGTTATCCCCCCTTAAACAAAACACCATTCCTGAGTGTTGTATCTGTATTCCAACAAAATCTCACCAAATAGCAATTTGCTATTCTGCACAGTTACTTTTCACAGTTACTGCACAGTCTAGCATCAGTGGGTTCACAAAATACCACATAGTACACTTGCCAGTATACGACAGAGTATCATAAATAATTGGAACTTAATTATAATCATCACAATGATTGAAAAAGGTACATTTGTGATACACACGCCTTGCCGTTTCACTGAGTCCGTTAATTTCAGGCCATTGCATTGATGGGGAGTTTGCAAAGAGTAAAGGGTCCTCAGGATTTGTCCCTTACTTATTAAATTGATAAAATTCAGTCATCTGCCATGGTGCCCCAGCCACTAGTGAAGTTTGACTGTAATAAAGAACTGTGGAATATCAGTGTGAAAATCTCCCAAGGGCTTAATTTTGCCTTTCAAGCAGAGCTCCACATGTGGGCAGTGTGAAGCCCCCAGCAGAAGTTCCAGGAAGTATGGTGCCTCAGAACTCCGCTGGCCAGTTTGCAAGGGGGGAGGGGTCCTGCTGCACACCTCCTTTTCCCAACCATTTGGGGTGGTGAGCATGGCTAGCCCCATGCAGAACCAAGGCTGCAAATGTGCTCTGTTCCTGGGAGGGCATGCAAAGGGAGAGAAATGAAGAGGTTCCTTGTCACCCCACACTTACGCACACTGTGGTGTAGGAGGCCAGGCAGAATCTCTGGCCTGATGCTATTTGCGCTACTCTACAAAAACACAATAATTACTGAAAAGTAACTGTTGAAGGTTGTGGAATAACCGTGGTTGTAGACAATCAAGCCCAGACTGATACTCATCTTGCAGGGTTGATTTAGGCATAATTAAAATCAATTACAGTAATTAAAAACCAAGTCTGATTTTTTCCCCCTTGAAATCCTGTAAGAATGTGTTCTTTACAAAATTCTGTTAAATATTTCCCCCCAAAAAATCATTTAGTCCCAAGCCAAGAACAGTTTTTCCAAGTTCAGGATCAGCTGCACAGATATGAATTTGGAACTGCAGCAATGAAAGAGTCTAAGACCACTGCAAAGACTTACACGTGAGTAGCCCTGCTGAGTTCAATGTTGAAGTACGTACTTAGGTCTTTGGTCATGGCCTAGAATGGTCATAGAGATCTCTAATGCTGCTATAAGTAGAAATCGTCTACTTTTGTTTGTTGTTCCTCTTTTGTCCACTCCAGCTTGGTACCAGATTCCTCTCAGCAACACACAACTGACATTGGACCATCACTCATGACCTACACCCCAGGTAATGTGGCCCTTTGTAGTTATCAATTGAGCCTAGAGCTCAACATCCAGCCCCTATACAGCACAGTCCAGCCCTTCTACCTGAAGCAGAAGAGAAGCATCCTTATACTTTACACATATTCTCACTTCTCCCCACATCTTTCCTGGCCTAAAGTAAAAGAGAGGAATAAAGAAATTGCAGTGATTGGCACCCTATAAATACCTTAGACTGCTACAAGATTAGATTATGACTGAGGGCAGGGGGAATAATGAGAGTAAAATTGCAGCACTGCTGCTCAGAGGAACTTCTCTGAAGTAACTCACTGAAGCCACCAGGTGTTGCTGTAAGTCTAATAAAAAACACCATTAACAGGATAACGGGATATTATCTATGGGATGTCAGATTTGATACAAGAGGCATTTCCCATGGAGACAAGCCAACATATCCTAAAGCTCTTTCTGATTCTGTTGTTCCCATGATGTGTTTTGCTGCATTTCATGTTCTGTTCTTCTAACAAAATAGTAGAATCAGACAACACAAGTAAAACAACATCTAAAATAGGAGCAACACAAGGTAATTTAAAAAAACGGTTACCTACCTTTTTGTAACTTGTTCTTCAAGATGTGTTGCTCATGTCCATTCAATTTTAGGTGTGTGCACGTCCATGTGCACGGTCGTCAGAGATTTTTGCATTAGTGATATCCGTAGAGCTAGCTGTGGCGCCCCCTTGAGTGGTATATTAGGCGCTGCCGGCCCTACGTCCTCTCAGTTCCTTCTTGCCAGCAACTCCGACAGAGGGGTAGAAGGGCAGGTAATGGAATGTACATGAGCAACACATCTCGAAGAACAACAGTTACGAAAAGGTAGGTAACCATTTTTTCTTCTTTGAGTGCTTGATCATGTTGATTCCATTTTAGGTGACTCACAAGCAGTATCCACGGAGGTAGGATCAGAATTCACAATCTAGTGGCTTGCAGTACTGCTCTACCAAAGCCAGCATCGTTCCGGGCCTGCTGGGTAAAAGTGCGTAATGGGATGCGAATGTGTGGACGAACGACCAGGTGGCCACCCTACAGATTTCCTTGTTAGGTACTTGGGCCAGGAAAGCTGTCAAAGAGGCTTGCGCCCTGGTTGAGTGCGGGGTGTCAATCGCCGGAGGTGGCACCTTCACCTGATCGTAGCAGCAGCAAATGCAGTAGTGATCCAAGAAGAAATTCTTTGAGCGGACACTGGACGACCTTTCATCCTGTCAGCCACTGTGACGAACAATTGCATCGACTTGCGAATGGCTTGGTCTCTTCAATGTACAAATTTAGCGCTCTCCTGACGTCCAGGGAATGCAATCTAAGCTCTTCCTCTGACTTATGCAGCTTTGGAAAAAAGACAGGCAAGTAGATGTCCTGGCCCGTATGAAACTGTGAGACCACCTTGGGCAGGAAAGCTGGGCAGATGACCCTACCAGGGGTTGGGACCCCCTGTTGCTCCCAGGAGTCAGAGGTGGGTCCCTGGCTAGACTAGGGGGTCCGACTGCAGCGGTACCTCAAATCAGTCCCTGGCTAGACTAGGGGGTCCGACTGCAGCGGTACCTCCAATCATGCTCCAAAGGACCATGTCAGGCCATGCAAGCACATGGCCTGACATGGTCCTTTGCCCAAAGCCTCCTTTTTCTGTAGTGCTGGCGGGCCCGTCGACTTTGACTGCTTCTTAGGCACTCGGGATGGGGAACGATGCCAGGTGGACTCTGGTGCCAGCGGTGTGCTGTGCGCCGATGCTGAGGTGCTGGGCATGGAGTCCAACCGAGAGGACTCCAAGGTAGGGCCAAGCGCAGCCTCTGTGAGGAGGGCCCTCAAGCGGATATCCCTCTCCTTCTGAGTTCGAGGGCAAAAGTTTTTTGCAGATCCTGCACTTATTCT